GATTTAATAAAAGAACTCAACTATTTAAAAGAAATGTGTTGCCTTTGTCCGATGTAAAGTAATCTTATCTACCAAGCGCCATTTTGTTGCAATTAGGCGCAGCATAATGTTTTATAGTATATATTTTTTTTAATTTAATATTCTGTTATTGATTGAAAAGCTAAGGGATTTAAAAGCAATAAACACAGCTCTTTATCTGCGTTATTAATAATTACTTGTTGGACCCCTGACTTTACACTAGGTGGATTTATCAAAAGCATTAGATATTTTTTAATTAATTATTTTAGGTGGCTGGCTGTGCCAACTCCTAGTTAGTTGAAAAGTGAAACGGACAACAGAAGTGAGGTTCGAAACTAATAACCTCTCTAAGTTAAAACAAGTATGGCGGCACTTAATATTGCATCGGGAATTCAAACGATACGTTGCTTTTACAAATTTTTAGTGTTTAATTTTAAAAGGCGTATGTACGAAGAAATTGATTTTTAATAATAAAATTTAAAAATAAAATCTCTGTCAGCAGGTTTGATTCCAAGAGTAATCTGATGCTCAATTATCTACGGAAAAGCAGAAAATAGCATAACAAACTCTTTGGTGTGCCATTAAGATATGAATTCTTTCAGGGGTTTTTTTTTTTTTGGACAATTTACTTTTAAACAGCAACATGTATAATACCTAGAAAAAAAGACGAAGTAATTGTAAATCGAGTAATATCTGTCGACATTTGCCGAGAGATAATTCTTTCAATCATCTGTAGAAATGATTGTTCTAGCTTTCGTACTGACTTGTTTTAGTAAACCACAGTTCAGTGGGAGTATCGGGTCCCTTAAACAGGTTTCCTCACATAGCTTGCCTTACCATTTGTGATAAATACGTCCGAACAGAGCGTGCATTTATTGTCACAAGGACTGTAACTACTGCATAACAGGGGATGAATTATATGAAATACGAAAAGTATTAAATAGATGGGACTGACTGGCTGTAGGTTTAATTTAGGTACACATAAAGTTTGAAATTGCAAAAATTGCAAAAATATCCAAAAACAATTATAAACAAGATATAAAGTTTGAAAAAATTGACGACTGTTCAGTTATTTTCAAACTATAACGAGGAATGAAAAATAAGAGATAATTCAAACTATGAAATAAATGAGTTAGTTTTAGAGTTTCGAGATGGTTAATGAAATATTGATTGAAAGCTAAATCATTTAAATAAAATGTAGAAATATCTAAAACCAATTTTATAATATCTGATCTTTTCCGGCATTATTTATTGTTGAAACATTCTAGCTGCTACGTATGCGTCAAGTTAAATAAAGAGCAGTCATAAATATGGAGCATATCAATTGCACCGCTTTTAGAGTATGTACGAAAGTAGAGGAAAAGTAAAAATGAATGAATAAGTAAAATAAATTTATACTTTGTATTCTTTGATGTGCTCCTGTTAAATAATTATTGTACTGCGTATGGATTAAAATGTTACTCTGTTTTTTTATCTCCTTCAAAATCATTTCTATGGATACAAATAATATTTAATAAACTAACTAAACGTTTGTACTCAACACTGTTTTATATATTTCATAACCTATGATCTGCAAAGTAACTGTCATAGGAGTCGCGAAACCTCATATTGGAATCCCATATTTTTCCTGAATCTTCTTAAAACTAACAATTGTGTTTTACTGCAAAATCGATTTCTAAATTACATTGTTCTATACTGATTTGCTTATGCATATAGCGAAAACGTAATTTATAAGCAAATAATGCAGTATACAAAAATTTCAAATACTTTTAAAACATAAAATGGGGACAAGTCTGGACAAAGCTATTTCGCAGACTATTTTTTAAGGAGGGAATCATATTAACTTTGGCTTATTGAAATCAACAAGAAAAGAAATAGGAAACTTCATATTGACACGGTCAAGAAATTTATGTCTTACGTCCACATATGTATCGTTCCCTCGGGAAATAAATCATAAGCTAGCGTAGAGATCCTAAAAGAAAATCCCTTAAATCCCAATGAGAATTATCTTTCTAAGTCTACAGAAATTTTTCAGAAGTCGTATATGGTATAACAAAACGCTACTGTCGAATTTATTAAACCTAATGCTTAGTTTAAATAGTAGTTGACTTTCTGAACCTCTAATTACACGTTCTATCGATTGTTAAAATGGGTAGTAATTTATCTTATATCTGTAGGAAGGTTTGGCAAAAAGTATTTCACTTGCAGAACAATCAAAATGCGGTTTCATTTCTCTTTGTTGTGATCCTCTATGGATGAATTTCAAAAGAATATGTTACATGTTCTAAAGAAACTGTGTGATGAACTTTTCAGTATTGCGTAATTATTACCAATCTTATTTTTTAAAATGAAACTGTTTATTCTGTTTTTGTACCAAGCAATATATTCTTGATTCCGCATGCTTTTTATAAAAGTTCTAATCCCGCTCTTGGATTAAGTCAATTTAGGAAACCAGAAGATGAGATTCTACTATGAATTCTATATAAATAACAAATTCCATTGCAAAATTCTTATTCGCTTGCGAGACTTGAATATTCTTCACGTTAGATTATCCATCGAATGAGCTTTTAATACTTTTAGAAAATTATAACTCTAATTTTATATTTAGGTTATTTGAATATCATGAAGCACACTGGGTCTATCTGCCTAAAGAAAGGTTGTTTTCATAAAAGACATAATGGAAACTGTATCGCATTCTCGTTACACATAGGAAAATTGCGAAAATCACAACCAAACCCCTCGCCTGGGATCAAGCCCAAATCGAGCTCCCAATAATCAGCGGTTGGCTACTATTTTGGCACTGATTTTATACTTAATTCCTAGACTAAAAAGGAAGTGTTTGCGAATTTCTGAATCTCAGTTACGTAGGATATTTGCAAAAGATTGAAAGAATGGTTGCAGATGCGTGTTTCTTAGTATAAGAAATAAAATATTTAGAATTAACATTTAAACTGCAACACTTTTGCTCTCAAGACATCCTTTAGCAAATGACACTTAACTCAATTTTAAATACATCCCATAAAAATGATTTCGTAGTCGATTTTAACCGAAGGAAAACGTCCATTACATTCGTATTAAAGTAACTTGCATATTAAAGGAACATTTTGCAGACCACAGTCAAATATTGCTAAAGACAGCTAAGTGCTCAAATGCGAATTTCCAAAATGTACCTTTTACGTCAGAAAAACATTTATATAGAAGCATAACTTTTCAAATTTGGTTTTGCTGTAACTATGAAATTTAAAATGTTGTCAAACATAATTGCATTTTACAATGGAACCTGAAAGTGACGTTGGGTGAAAGCGGCTAAGTCACAATTTCGACATTTTTCTTAAGGACTATAGTTTATTTTTGAAGAAAAACAAAGGATAGAACATTTAAGAACAGGTTATTAATTTAAATTTTGCTTGGAAGAAGCCTACTTAAAAACTTAAATTTTGAGTTCTTAATATAACCAATTTATTTAAGAAATATTTAGTCATACAACATTTTCAAAAAGTACATATTCACTTCAATTATTTGCAGAACGTGTATGTAATCTAATAAAGAGCTCTTCTTTCTTAAATTTCTTAGATAGTGTCTCGCGCGAAAATCATAGCTTTTCCAGCATTGTGATGCATAGGATTTGTGCTACTACTCATATTTGTCTATCCTGATTCGGAAATAATTGTTAATATTCTAAAATTACTGTAAATGTTTCTTGTGGAGAAAATAATCTCAGTTTAATACTACGAGTTTTACGAAGGGGCATCCAAAAATAACCGGAATAATTTTTATAAATACTTATACAATGCAATACGTATAATTACGTCAATTTTGATCTTGCACAGCTGCGTTAATGGAATCTAAAAATGAGTGTAGATAGTCAGCTATTATTTAAACTAAGCAATTACTATTAAGATAATACGGGTTGGGTTTTCTGGCTCTTTATAAATTCATTTACAGTGTTTTATAATACTATATGCAATTTCTGAAAGATTCCTATAAACATAGAAAGTTAATTCTCAACCAATGTCCATATACGTTTTCAAAAATTTTACTTTCTACTGGAAACATAGAAACGGTTTTGAAATTCTTGACAGGAAATACTATTCAAGGTAAACAAGAGATCTTCTTTCATATAATCTACATCTCTGAATTATTGTTTTATTCTGTGAGTTGATTTTTGAGAGCTTTCTTTATCCAGGGAAAAGGAAAATAATAGCACTGAGAGAGAACATTTGATTAATAGCTTTATGAGACACACGCATCCCTTTCGTCTTTCTCAAGAACTCTTGGAAGGAAAATGTTGTTTCAGAAATCTAGTGAATGGTCTTTTGGCAATCGCCATTAGGTTCTTGTCGCACTTTCTCTATATTTTCTTGATTTCTACTTTTCAAAGAATTTCCGAGTCATTAACGGCCTTCATCTGACATATCGTCGTTTTGAATGCAGAAAATCCCTCGGACACATGGGATTCACCTTAAAGCATCATTTCTAAAGATTTCCTGAAGCATACCAATAGCCTTGGATGCAGGTTTCGCAACAAATAAAAACATTTCACCGACCGTTTTTGTGACATATCGTTATTTGAGCATACGATTTGAATTCGTTCAGCATTAGATTCCAAAAATAACAAAATTTCAGATGACAAATGTGGCAAGATGCTATGAGTACAAACATACTCAAAACAGCACCGGAAACGAACCTTACTACTCAGATTTATGCCACTTGGCGAGAGGGTCTAAGTTTAAAAGGCTTAGCAGCATGCTCCATTATCACGAAAGGCTTGCTTGCCCTTCTGTCATTTCTTGTAACTTTGTGTACGCCTATATGTACAGGTTATCAGAAAAGCGATAGTGGAATCGCTGTTTTAAATTCATTAAAACATAGCTTAAAGATTATTGCGTAATTTAAGTTACATACATATATACTTAAGTAAGATATAAACATAGCTGAATAACGTGGTACTTCAACCGCTTAATTTTTTATTGTATTTCTAGAGACAATACCGCCCCCCAAAAGTACCGAGCTTGTCGAAGGATGCGGTGGGACAGAGACTGGAGTTGGCGGAGTCATAGTGTCCCCAGGTTATCCTCACTCGTTCCCAAAGGATGTGGAATGCGTGTGGTTGATCAGAGTGGATAGCAAAGAACACATTTACATCCGAATCCTCGACTTACAGTTATATGGCAGCATAGGTAAAAACATTCCTATAGTTAAAGAGCACTTTTAGCTCTAAATATTTTTGTATTTAAATAAACATTTTCTCTTCACTAATCTGTTATTTTAATAGCAAACTGCGCTGATGCTGAGTTGTCAATCTACGACGGGTATTCCAGCTTTACATTTAATCCCGAAATTATGAAGAAATACTGCGGAGATTTAAAGTACTACAAGAATGTTGAAGAACGCACACAAATGTCCAAAAGAAACAGACTTCTTATCAGGTAAATGGTACATTTACACATTATTAACATTTTATTTAACGTACAGCAAAGAAAACATATTTTGATTCAAAGCATTAAAGTGTGATTTGGTTATCATATGCAAATAAAGGAAATTAAATTTGACAGCGTATATGTTATCTAATGGTATTTCATTTCCCCTAATATAATTAAATTTCGAATTGTTATAATGCTGACGTTCTTGAAATGTAACAGTTTATCTCTCCCTTTTGGAATCGAATTCTCAAATAACTATATTACTGCGTTTAACGTCCCTTAATACACCTAATCCGCACATTTCGTTGCTGCTTCCATACCTTCAGCGTTTTCTTTAATAATTATTATGAAGATATTGGTGCGTAAAAAATCCATTTCTGGTTTAAATTCAATTATCTTATCACTACTAGACATCTTAATTTGTATCGTACTGTTTTATTTTGCTTACCTTTACTAGACAAAATGTCATACTATCAGGTTCAATGTTCCGTCTTACTTTCTTCGGGAACATGCAAGGACCTGACTCGGAACAGAGAGCTTACTAAAGCTATGTTCAATAACTGCGGGAAGTAGACAGGATACACAAGAAGGGTATACAAAACCCTTTATTTTTCTCTCTTTACAATAATTTCTGTACTTCGGAATACAAAGACCCACTACTTGTGGTCTAAACGTAAGAATATAAAAATATAACTAAACTCTAACTTGACTTTGAAATAATAAACGTGGAAGATTGGCCTTATATTAACAGGAAGCCGTATGTAGTACAGAGAACTGTTAACACTACAATACGTTTAAAATTATCACGAGGATTAAACCTCTGGCCTGGAAGGCAACCAGCAACTGAGTAAAACTTCTAAGGTAAGCGGCCTGCTTCGACTAACTCCTTCCTCTCTCTCGCTTGGCAAAAAGCCACAACTTAAGTACTTGGCGTTCGCCAGACAAATTTTGCATAAATAAGTTAACGCTTTTAATTCTGGCCGGAAGTAGAAAATAAGAAGTGATAGTAAAGATTTAAAATAAAATAAACGTTAGTAAAACTTAAGATCCTTACATACTTCCCACCAGAGTTAATTAGTTTGAAACTGAGGTCTAAAACGAGCTTGTTGAAAACTTTTAGCTCTAGAATCTAACGCGAGGCCAATCTTTTACAAACATTTCTCACTAGAAACTAGAAATTTAAAAAAAAAAAGAAATTTGTTTTTACAATAGCAGCTCCAAGGACACGCAATTTTTTCATCTGTAATGCATCTAAACAGGAGCTTTTTATTCAAATCTGGTTCCTTCCAGAGATCTGGAAGGAAAACTAGTTTAATGAAATGTTACACAATGAAATGGCAAGTAACGTGCATATTTATATTTCTCTTAACATTCTTATTTCATTCATGACTATTTTAATTATCTCTCCCCGTGCTCTCTGACATGTGTTGTAAAAGAACACCAAACACGAATGTGTTTATGTATACGTGTTCAACACTTCCTCCTACAATCAAAACACTAACGTGTTAAAAATTCAACATACCAAGACCTCGTAACACACCCTAACTTCAACTCTAAAACCCTGAGGTACTATTCTGAAAGTGGCTAACTCTGAAGTGTAGCGTCAGAGAGCCTAACTACATTCATTCAACCTTTAACACATATTCACCATGATTTGGTCTTTTTACAGTCAAACGAATAAAAAAAAATTTTAACATTACTTTCACTTTTACCATATCACGGTATTTCTTAACATTTAAAAATAACAGTTCACATTGTATATAAGAAACATATTAACATGCCGTTAATTTTAAGCATTTGAAAACATACATTAGTAGTACATTGTTAACTTCTATTCTTTTCAAAGCAAGTGCCAATTCTTCTACATTGAAATACTACATTTCAAAAAGTCTTTCAGACTAAAACTTCTTTCTTGCCAGAATGTTTTAAATAAAATTTATACAATAACTTTTACAATATTTAAGTCTTTACATATTCCTATTATACATCAACTTTAGTTTTACGCGCGATTAATTGAAAAACATAATACCAAAGTCGGTAACAACTCATTTCTCGCCTTTTTGGCGATAAAGGTAGACCTCGCATGAGGTAAAACTTCTTGAAATCTGCCACTTGCAGTAAGAATGAAAGATTAACTGAAGTTTGCAAAGTAACATACAATTTTACTTATCTTTGTGATATTCGGACATTCTTTTCTGAGCCCAGTCCTGGAAGGTAGCGTAGATTCTCGTTTGATTTATCATCCTTCGTGTGCGGGCTCGCCCTTCAGTGCCTTCCTCTAGAAGCTTTTTTTTTTCTCCAGTTCGGTCACCCTTGAATACCTTCTTTTTCGCCTCTGCCTGCGGTCTTGGCCGTTTGAAGGCAGCTGGTCTTGGCGGAACCGGGACACTTCTTTCTCGTTCCTGCTTGGACCTCGTTGCTGGCCGTTCAAATTTTCCTTGTATCTTTTCCTTCGCCGCTAGTGGCCCTTCCGCAGTTCGGCGACATTTGCTGCGGAGAGTCCTGTCCGATGAGTAGATCTTCCGTTTGGAAGCCGGGTTATAGTTGCCGTTATTTCTTCTGGCTCTCTTTGCATACGTCGTCCTTCTCCCTTCTTCATTCTGGGGGTGTTCGTGAGCTCTCTTTTCTGGGCGGTGGAACGGCTTCTTTTTCTTGTTACCTTCAATTTTCCCGCGGGGAAACTTTCTTTTCACTTGCTCCTGCCTCTTAATGGCTTGCCCTTGCACTTGTCGTTGTTCTAACTCTGGCGCTTGTGCCTGCCGTGTCTGCCGTGCCGGATCCTGCAAAAGATCTGTAAATATTTGCATTTTATTACGATCATAGTAGGGTTTGATTTGATCAATGTTTGCGGAGCAGGTTTCACCATTCCTGGCTTTTAACACTACAACAGCGTGAGTTATTTTTTCTATGACATATGGTCCTTCAAATCGTGGAAAACATTTGGCAATTTTATCTTCTGGTGCTGAAGAAAGTGAATGCTTAATTTTTAATACTTCATCCCCTACTTTATAAGTTACTCCCCGTCGTTTCAAGTCATAATACAGCTTTTGTTTTCTCTGTGCTACTTCAGTATTCTTTTTTGCTTCTTTAATTAGTTTTTCTATATCACCCATTTTAAATTCTGGGGCTCTTTGTTGCACATAAAATAATTTATCTAACGGCGTTATAATCTTTCTGCCTAAAAATAACTCAGCAGGAGTTTTGCCCGTTGTATCATGTTTTGCGGTCCTAAGGGCGAAAGCAAATTCATTGATAGTTATCCCAGCTTTTATGAAAATTTTTAACATAACTACGGATAATTTTCACTATATTTCTATTGACCCGTTCCGCTATATTTGATTGCGGCCGATACGGGACCATTTTTAAATGACGTATGCCCAGATTTTGGCACATGTCTTCAAATACATTACTTACAAATTGAGGACCATTATCCGATATAACTTTTAGGGGCGCCCCGTATTTTAAAATATATTTATTTAAAATAGAATCAGTAACTAATTTCGCGGAGGCTCGTTTTAAGGGAACAATTTCGGTCCACTTACTAAAATGATCAACCATAACAAGGAGATAGCGACTTTTATTTAACTGACTTTTTGGGAAAGGGCCCAATAAATCGATGCCAATTATTTCATTTGGAAATTCGGATTTAATACTATTTAGAAACCCGGCCGGGCGGAAATTAATATAATTAACTGCTTGAGATGTTGGGCAGGACTGGACATACGCCCTTGTTAACTTTTGCAGTTCAGGAAAATAGACTGCCTCGCGTACGCGTTGGATACTTTTTCGAATACCAGCATGAGAAGCTAAAGGGCTGTCATGGAGCTCCTGCAGGATATTTAATCTAAGACTAGCTGGGATAACAGGTCGTAATTCGTTGTTGGAATTCGTAGTTTTTGTATAAAATAATAGACCATCTATTAGTTCGTAATGGGCCGCCCTATTTCTTATCGCCACAATATCTTGGTGGCTAAAATTCTCAGGATCCTTTAAATACTCATAAATGCTTCCAAACTCAGGATCCTTACCCAGTTCGGTTATTACAGTTTCTCGGGAATTTATTGTACATGCTGTAAGCATTGCCACCTTTACAGTATTACCTTCTTCATCTATTTTAATTCTGGATAGGGCATCTGCTACGATATTTTCCTTTCCGGGGGTATGCTTGATTACCAGATTATATTCTTGTAGCTTGAGTGCCCATCTTATTAACCTTGGGGATAAGTTTTTGCCTGAGTACAATCTAGTTACCGCCGCATGATCAGAGTACACTGTTATTGGCGCCTTTCCAAAATAGACTCGGAACTTTTGCACTGCTAACAGAACTGCAAGTGCCTCTCTCTCGGTCGCGGAATAGTTTGTTTGTGTTTGATTTAAAGTTCGGCTAAAAAATGCCACGGGCTGCTGATTTTGCGAAAGTACCGCTCCTACCGCATAATCCGAAGCATCCGCTGAAATTTCTAAATTCTCATCCTTTTCAGGAAATTTCAACACAGGGGCTTGCGTTAATGCTTGTTTTAATTTTTCGAAAGCACTATTGGCTTCGGCCGTCCACGAGAATCTTGCCTTTTTCCTTTTTAATTTTAACAATGGTTCAGCCATAGCTGCAAAATCTTTTATAAAGGACCTGTAATATGAACAAAGTCCTAGAAAAGAAGAGAGCTTCTTCGCCGTGTTTGGAGTCGGATACTTTTGTACAGCGATTATTTTTGATTCGTCTGTCTCGATTCCTTTCTGAGATATTTTGTAAACCAAATATTTTAATTCAGGGGCTGCAAATTTGCACTTTTCGACATTAACTTTTAGACCGGCCTCATTTAATAAAGAAAACACCTGTCTTAAATCCTGTACATGTTTTTCGAGATTATCACTAGTAATAATGATATCGTCTAAATAGATAAATGTGGACTTTCCAAGAACAGGCCTTAACACAATGTCCATACATCGCTGAAATTTTGCCCGGTGCCCCTGAAAGGCCAAACGGCATACGCAAGAATGCATAAGTGCCAG